GCCTGGAGGGCCCTCAACTCAATGGGCCTAAAAGGGGAGGGGGGGTGTGCAAAAGTGGTCCCAAGAGTACAGAGGAGAGAATCCTCTAAACGTTAAAAGAAGAGATTCCCAGTTTCTGGCACAAAATTTGTTATTTTTCCTGCAATTTTTCATTCCCTGATGAATCCCAGATTTGTGCACTTTTCCGGTCTAGGTACCATGTCCAAGTGATACAGAAAAAGAAAGAAGACTGGAAAATTTGATTTCATTTAAATTTTATTAATTTATTATCAGTCAAATTGCTACTATAACAAAACATAACATTGAACAAGTTGAAAATTTTTATCTTTTACCTATTAAAATAATAATTAAACTAAAAAAAAGAAGTTTTGATTCGTCTAAGTTCTTTTCTATCCTTCGTCGATAAACACTGTTCGTAGCTATGAGAGAACTAATCATAAAGGCTCTTTCAGCGGGTAAAAAATTTTAGAAAAATCCTAAATATAACCGCAATTTCACATATTTATGCAATAAAAGGGGAGAACACTTTTAAAACTTGGGGATCGACGAACTGAAAACTAGCGTGAGAAAAATGGCAATTTTAGCAAGGTAATAGAATACAGGAAAGATCATAGGACACAACTTCACATTTCATGACACTATAAAAATTATTTTGAACTGTCACCCTGCATTAAAATTTCACACTACAAAATATACAGACAACTTTTTTTAATACTAATTGAAGTTGGTTCTGTTTTCTATTCTTTCCTTTTCTTCCAGGAAAATGGTGAATACTTGGCTTTACAAACAGTGGTCCAGATTGTCTATCCATTACAGAAAGAAGACAGTTGAAGAATTTTTATAACTGTTGGATAACCAAACCGCAGTTGACTAAGAGCTTAGGGTTTCATAAGCATTTTTTAGATTGAAAATTTTTCTCACTTCTCTTTCCGTTCTCATCCAATAATTTGGCAGGACGGATTTTACTTAAAAAGTTTACAATAATGCCTACCATAGAAAGGCAGGGTTACAAGAGTTAAAAAAATGCAAATAAATTTACTTGGACTGTAACCATTAGAAAACTAGATGACTGATTACTACAATGCCAATTTCTATTTGTGCAAAACAGGATGTTCTGTTATTTAATCAGAGCATTTACCTCACCTATATTTTTAATACTAAGAAAAAAAGGGTAAAATTAGGATCATTCGAGATTTTAGGAAGTAAATATATTTATTTAACTTTCCAGAATAAATTTTGATGAGGTATTAAAAATATTGCGGCATGAACATAAATTTTTCAAATTTCCCAAGGAAATTTAAATTAGGTCACACCAAAACAATGACAAGAAACATTAATGAAACTGTCACTTTGACTATATGCGATTGAGAAATTCGTTTGGATAATATTAAATCTGGATAATGTAAAGTCCGCTATGAGAAGTTTGAGAGTTATGAGAAGTATTGAAAAAGGCAGGATTTTTGAGACTTTCCAATTCATCGATTGAAAGCCTGATAGAGAGGCAACTGAGGTGCTTTCAACTGCGCTTTGGTTGATTTTCATCGCATCATGTACAAATATCGAACCCTTACGGCGTCTAAAGGTTGTATCACATTATTTGGCAGTGTTAATATACATTGACCAAACATTACAACGATGTAGTAAAATTAATTTTATCCTAGAAGCAATTTGTGGTTCCTGGAAAAGTTGTAAGTATTCCCAGAACGAATAGTGAACACATTGTACAATATAAGCACTTATTCCGAGAGACATAGAGAAAAATACAAGTTCCTTCTAATTGAATAAATCACAAGAGTTGATAAAAATTCCAAACGACAAAATACGAGAATAGTCTCAGAGCTTATGGAATGAGTTCCTTCTACTTATGTACAATTCTCACAGAGAAAAATATATTGAGATGATATCTTTGTCGGGATAGTTCTCATTCAAAAATAATGTAATTTTAAAAATCCTGCACCCCATGCCAGCTGGGATCTATGCAAGACTAAAAGTTCATGATACCTACCAACATACACAAAAAATAAAGAAATTACCAACTTGAGAGTCAAAACTTCTAAAATCATAAGAGGCAGAAATAGAATTCCTACAGCATTTAGTAAGTTTTACCATCTCTTGTTATACGGCTAAAGTATACCTAAAATCTTATTTGAACGATTCTGACACGATGCTTCAAAGTTTAAAGTTCATAAAGACCAATGCACAGCTTTATTAAAACTTCCTAGAGGTGAAAGAGATATTTTTTACAAGAACTGAGATATTGTTTAATCTGACCAAAACTTGTCTCAGAGTAGTCTTTGCAAAAACTTAACCTCGAAACATAATTTTCAGCTCTGCAACGTCGGTTCAGATTTTTGTGAGCCTCATAACTTATTGAAATTTTTAAACTTTAAACTCATTTTGCTCAAAATAACCAATATGTTATACATCTCCTTCACTTGCCAAGGCTTCAGAGGAAGGTACAGAATAGAAACAATGATTCAGAACCTTCAAAAATTCTTACTAAATTTAAAATACATTCGGACACAAAAGACTTAAATAATTATTGGTCTCCCACACGCTGCTCTGGATCGAATTGGGGTTTGCTCTCTTTATAAAACACATACAAATAATTAGCAAAATGAAAAGTTTAAAAACTGATTAGAACTTAACCTTATGACATAATTACGACATTCGATATGAACTACTGACTTATTTTTTCATCGAGGGAGAAGTAAAAAAACATTGAGAATCATATAAATATATTGACCACAACTAAACATGTTTATGATTTGAAGATCTTCAAGGAGTTACCCAAATTTTTTAAGAAAGCACAAGTCTTGTTCTTGCACATTTGGATTATGATTGGGGTAAATTCAGTTCGATTATCTTATCTAGGCTAAAACATTTGGTTACACATTGGGTATCTTTTCACGATCCAAGAAAGTTAATGAGCATCAAAATAAAATAAAAACCTTCATGATCAAAAAAAGTCAAATAATTGATAGGTAAATTTTAGGGGACAGGGGAATGGTGTTGCTATTCGTTCTTCATTGAAGAAATCGACAAGCTCATGGTCCTCATTGAGCGATGAAAAGACAATGGACCGAACATATTGCTTGCGAAATAAAATTAAATCGACTACACCACTGAGATCAAAATCAAAATTAAAAAATACTTAATAATAATTAAAAAATTGTGCTACATGGTCGAAAAAGAAGATAAAAAAATGAAACACTTGACAAAATGATTCCGGTACTTGTCGAAAATAAAAGGGGAAAATAAATGTTACAGACGATTAAAGATAAAAATTAAGCAACTGATCAAAATATTAAAAGAAAAAAACTATTTATACATATAATTCCTATGAAATAATACAATTAAAAACGTTGGCAGTTCTTGTTTCAATTACAATATTTCAGCTCTTAAAGCGCCAAAATTGACAAAGTCATTGATAAAGTTAAACTAGGTATTGCAATTCACAAATAAGATTGACAGCACAGATCAAAGATGCTGGGACGAGGAGTTAGAAGGACCTTGGAGTGGAGCTTGCTTCGACTCTTTCAACGCTATGGAGGATCATTACCCTCTACAGCTTCGCAAGCTGCTATTAAAAGCTTACGCTAATGCTTTCAAAATCAAGCGCTGAAAAGGTCAAAGGGGTGATTCCTAACTGCATCAAAGTTATCGATACTATTCTCTCGCAACTAGTTGACATGGTAAGCTCTCATGAAGAATTCGCACTTTTTTCAGGTACAGGTCGGTTGAAAAATATGATTACGCTAACTGGAAAAATGGCAGTGGATGATCACTATTCTAGAAACAGTCATTTTAGTTCATTCAAAGGAAAAGGAACTTGACTGCTCAAAGGCAACTTTTTCACAGGGCGTTTCAGGTCCAGTTGGATTAAAAATTCGAATAACAACACTTTATCGATGACAAGAGAGCGAAACGCCGCATCTCCACTCGCTACATTGCAAACTTCCAGTCACACTTTCTTTTACCCTCAGAGAACTAGTCGACTTAATTACTTGATATTTCTTCCCTGTCGGCAGATTATTCTGTACAAATTTCAAGCGCAAAGTTTCGGTTGTTTCTTCTCAAAAATATAAAATAGGAGCAGGAATTTCGCAATGCTGTGGAGATATGCGTTTTTGCACTTTGGCAATATAATTATAGTGTCACCAGAGGGCAGGAATTTGCACTGAAATTCACGGATTAAAACTTTGATTGCTGAAAATGACACATTTCAAATTGCGAACTTCAAAGCATCATACTTGTGGTTTGGTTCGACTTTTTTGAGAGTTTCTAAAATTCTCATAAAATACTCCTCCGACTAAAAGTTTTTTGGCACTAGGTCTCTTTCCCAGGAACAGTTGGACTACATTTTTCAATTAGGAACTACAATTTCTAGCTCTGAAAACACTCATGAGCATAAAGAAACTAATGGTACATGCGTTGTCTCTAAACTGAGCCAAATATTGTAGTTCCAAATTACAAAATGCAGTCCAGTTACATTTACGTTTTACTATCATTAAATATGGAGAAATTTCCTCAGATTGAGGAATAATTCACGATGTCAACCTGCACCTCACCAAAGGCCATAAAGAGGGTGATTCAAAAGTCCAGCTCCACCCCTATAAAACTTAGGGTTCTTGCCCATTTTCACGGAGATCTTACTGAATTTGTGAAGGGTCCCAAACGTTGTTTCCATTGACTCAAGAGCACTCATAAATTTTCGAGACTCAATCTAAATTTTTTCGGAAGTTGCAGAGATGATGCCTAGTGCTAACCGTGCAGGACTTTTGGATCACCCCATAGAACTTTTTGATTGGATTATCGTAGGCTAAGGTGCAAAACCACGTACCTCCATTGTGCTGTTTCAAAATTTCCCGTCCTATTTTCTTTTTCCGAGGAGGACCGAGCCAACTTTATACCTTGAAATTTCTATACAATATTCTTCGAACAGAGAGAAGAAATCAAGGGAGTTTTCAAGAAATTACGTTGACTAGTTTTCCAAAAAAAAATTAAAGTATCACAGGAAGTCTACATCATCGCAAACAGAGATACACGATTTCGCACATTGGCTATTGATACACAACGAGAGCTCTGCTACAGCTACAGGAAAAATCACATTTATTGAAAAAAATGCCAGGCTTTTCAAACTAACGGGCTGGGATTGATGAACTTGCATTTTTTCATTATAGCTCTTAAATTCCATGCTCATCCTAACACCTCGTTTCCTCTTCATTTGTACAAATACTACGACAAATACAATTAAGTAAAACACAAGATATCATGAGGTTTACCCTCGTTTTGAACTATTGATTCAGTTGATTTTGGGTACTTCCCACAAAAATTGGATCACATTTCGCATTACTGATCTACTATTTCTGGCACATTTTAGAAACAACTTATGAATCATTGATTTCCCCGAACACAGGTGCTTTTTGCGGGTGAGCCAGAAATAGTATTTTCTTACGGCAAAATGTAGTCCAAATATAATTCAATACAAAATATTGAGTCCTGTCTCCCTAGCAATGAAATACGACTGCATTCAGGCAACTGAAGCCATTTGGAAATGGGGGACAATACTTTAAAAATACTTTAAAATTGAGAAATAATAAAGTATTGAATCAATTTTGAGTACAACCGGATGTAACATTTTTTTGCACCTTGACATTGTATGATGCAAATAACACGTATCTTGATTGCAATGTTTAAAAGTCTCCAATCATGTGTAATTTTCTTCAAGGAAAACTAACCAAAATTTATCATTTCAATTTTGGATGGTTACATGGAATGAGAAAATTCTCACAAAATTTAAATGGAAAATTTCTTTTCGTTTTTCTTTGAAAGAATAAAACATGAGCAAAGACTTATGATGTCGCAATCTGAGATACGTATTTTTCTTCTTTAGCCATTGATATTTTGTTGCAAAATAGTGAAGAAGGGATTTTTGGAATTATTTTAGATGGGCAGTACGTCTAGGGAACTATTTTGATTGTGAAAATACAGTAACTTGTGTACAGCTTTCGGTATTTTTAAATTTCTAGGAAAACTTAATTTCTTTGAAAACAAATAATGTTGCATTAACTTTTCAAAAAGAGTTTTGAGAGGAAATAAAATGTTCACACAATATTTGGTGCAAAAACGACAATTGATGGTTTTTGGTTATAATTGGCACAGTCTCAAGATGTGATTGAGGGAATATGTTTTCAGGTAGGCCAAAAGATTCAGAGCCTTAAAAAAAACTTGTTCACAGATTTCTGCTTCTAAATTTAAAATAACTGAAAATATAGCTTAATGAATTAGAAAATTTGAATGAACAACCGGTGACGGATTTTGTCAAAAAGATGCAGCGACAGAGGTGAATGCAATCGAATTCAAAGAGGGTTACAAATCACAGGAAAAAAAGACAAACGCCAAAAATACAAGCTGCTGCTAAATTGCGTAAAATTAAAACAAATATCACAGCGCATTTGTTGAAACGCATTATCATCTTCAAAAATTGATTTACTTCCGATGAGAGGCTCATATCTTATAAGCTCACAAATGAGAACAATTCTCAGCTTAAACTTGTTAGTAGGTCCTATTTTCAGATGCTGGTGCAGCGTCTGGTGAAAAGTTCAATAGCAGGGGCTCAGTCTGAATTTACAGCCATTTAAAAGAGGTATAATTTAATCAGAGCAAAGATTAAAACAAGATAATCAATTTTTTCACCAGCAAAATGAAATTTCATTTTATAAAAACTCAATTAATCGAGAAATGAGTGTCTCTATGGTAACTCTTTGAATTTCAGTCTGTTTACGCTATGCTTTATACAATTAAAATTCTTAAATAGTGAGTTATTAATTTTTGAAACACAGCTCCACTTTGGAACGTGCAATGAAGATAAACTCTGCAGGGAAGAAAATTCGCTCTGATGTATAGTGCCACTCTATTTAGAAAGTAGACACTTGTGGCTGGGTTCATGAGCGAGTCTGTAATCTTTTAATCTTTTCTTCTTAATTGAGCATTAGTAAAGGACTATGAAAAATTGATTTAATAAAAGTGAATCAAAACATTCTTTGTCAGTCAGGCGCAAGTTTACACATGGTTAAAAACTTCTGAGGAAACATTAAAAGGCATCAAAATTCAGCCTGCTTTGAATAAAAACAAACAATGCGTAACTCTTCTTGAATGAATTGTATCTAGTAAAACCAGGACAAAATAATGCCAAAATGGCTTGCTGCTTGCTCCCATGCTACAAGAATATAAGTGAAAATAATTAAAAAAGTAATAAGAACAATTTTATGAAGATTTCTTTGCAGCTGATATAATCAAATGAGCCAATCGGAGCAGATCATTCAATACTCAAGTGTAATATACCTTAAAACGCAGTCATATGCTTAAAAACACAGCTCTTCGAATTTTCAGTCAATTTTGCTTATTCTTTTTGTTATTCTTTATCTTGTTAGTTTTTATGTCTGTTATAAAAAATGAGCTTTTTCAAAGATGGAAGCTCAACTGATTTTGAGGATCATTAAATGAAATTAATATAATTAAAATAAGATTCACTTAAAATGAAGGAACATCAATAAAAATTGAGAAAATCATAATTACTATGTCAGTGGGGATAAACTATAGAAACAGATAAACTGTATGGTACAAAGGAAAAGTGAGTGTAACATGTCCTTCGTTCGTTCAGAATGAAGACGACAGGAATATTCAAAGTTAACCTCAATCTTTGCGCAGCTTAAAATCCATTTTACATACTTACATTCATAAGTAGATACATTTTTATATACATTCACACGCACATAAACAAGTAGACACAAGCAAGATTTAGAATTCTCACAGGTTCCATAAATTTACAAAAGATGATTTTAATCAGGCGAGAGAAATTTCATTCGTTAAATGCACCACTTACAAGACAGACTCAATTTTACACTTTGAAAGTAGGTCTATTTATACATACTTTAAATATGTACTTATAAATATTGATAACAAATTTATGTACACATAAAATAAATCAGTTAAGAGAAATAAATAAAAAAATTTTAGCTACAATTTTGGTGACTTCGGTATAATTTTCGTGAGGATTTTGAAGGGGTTGAACTGCCCTGGAAAATATATCTCAGGCAAGTCTGCCTTTCTTCTTCTGCAAGTGTCCTCATGTCTACAAACCTATGCCCACGGACTTTATCTACCGTTTGCCACTCCTCCTCCACACTGTAAACAAGATAAAGAAATGAATTGAAAAAGTGGTTACAGATAAATTTTGAAATTTTTTTTACACTTAGTAAGAAGCAGATAAAATTTTACACAGAGTTAGTACATTTTTTACCTTCCTCTAGTTAGTCAAGCTTGAAACCTTCTTCCTTTTTTCATAGAGAGGAAATAATTTCATTCACCATTTTATTCCCTTTAGAAATAGCCATAAAACTAAAATATTACGAAACTTCGAAGAAAAAAGAGAAAGTATTTACAGTGGCAAGTGTCTCAAGTATACATCTTGAGCATGTGATATCCTGACCAAACTGCCAATCAAGAAACAAACTATTCCTAAAATTTCCAGCTATAATTGGGGATTTCAAATGAATTCTTCCCAGTGAGCTATTGGTACTGCTTGTTAAGAAATACTAATGCATTCAGACATGACTGCTCATGTCGAAAACAAGCGGCAATATCAGGGCTCAATAAGCTCCTAGTCAGAGAACTGTTGCCTATCCGTTGGGTTGCTTTGCTCATTACACTTAGAAAATAATTTAATTCCTTCCAATAAAATTAATATTTTCAGCTATTTCTTAGGCTTCCTCTGATATATTTTTGAAAATAGGCGGGGATTAAGCTGGCCTCCCGTAATTCAAAAGGGGAATGAAAGGTCTCACGGTTCCTCAAAAGAGGGAAGGGAGGTAAAGTAAACAAATCAGCCAAAATGTCTAACATCATACTTCGACGGTCAAAGAGCAAAACCACGAGTCTCCATTTGCGACGTTAAAGACTTCCTGTCATACTTAATTTTCCTTTTAAAAACCAGTCAACGTAATTTCTTGAAAACCTCCTTGATTTTTCTTTTCGGTCAGCAGCGTATTCTGCATAAATTTCAAGCTGTAAAGTTAACTTGTTTCTTTAGGAAAAAATAAAATAGGGGCAGAAATTTTTAAACAACCTGCTGAAGATACGTGGTTTCGCACTTTGGCCGAAGACCGAGCGGAACACATACCTAAGCTTCTTTTGGGCTGAATTTGTAAAAAAAAATCATGGACAACTGTACTTACATGCCACGAGGGAACCATCGAAGCAAATATCGCACTGTCCCGTTTGGTTCCGTCCGTTTCGCACAGACCTGAAAAACAAAATCAATATGATGTTTACATTCCATTGGACACAGAGGGACCTTCAAAAATGTAAACCCGTCACCTTCCTCACTGAAAACAAAGCAAATTAGATTGACGCATGCAAACAGATCCTAGCAAGCAGAAAAGAAATTTATCCTAGTTCATATTCAATTTTTTACAAAAAGTCTCTTGATTAAGTAATTCAGAAAAGTCAAATGCAATGAATTTTGGGTTTGAGATAAGATCAAAGAACATTGATACATCATATGGAAATCAATCAAATATAACCAGAGTTGAACGAAATGAAGGGCTGAAACTAATAATTGCCAATAAATTTTTGTTACATGGATATTGTGCATTGGAAAAAGCCTTGAGTTTCCCGATAAGCCCAGCATCGTAGTTGTTTCCTTTTCTATATTAAAAATACTTGGTGCTAGATTGGAAGGAAAAGAAAAAAAAATTGGAAAAATTCCAGTGCCGAAATGCTGGTTTGCCGTTATCCTTTCCTTGAAAAATACAATAAAAAACTTGATGAGTCATGATGAATTTTTCAGGATATTATGACTGAAAATGCAAGATATGTGAATTGACCACTTGATTCGTTCACAAGGAAGGAGATAGAGAGATAGGCAAAAACTTAAAAAAGTACAATTATTAGCAGGGTGTCTACCAGAGATAAAAAACTGAAATTGGGAACTTCCGGGGACTTTAAGGGGTGTTTTTTAAAGAAAATCAGGGACTTTTTTCCCCGAATTAGTTCAGGAAATGGACCTAGTTAGAGCAGTAAAAGGCTTATTTTATACAACTGATTTTACAAGTCATGTTGAACCTATGAAAACATACGAGAAACCAAGCAACACTTCAGTTTTTTTATTCTTGGTTATACCGCGCCGCCGCAGATGTCGGGAAAATTTGCAAATACCGGTGTTTAGGACGATTTTTGTCATTTTTGGGGACCTGAACAAGAAAATTGGGTACTTTCAGGGATATCGGAGACAGCCTTCCAAAATCGGGGACTTTTGGGGACCGGTAGACACCCTGATTGGGGACCTGAGTCAAAAAAAGTGTACTGCATGCGGATTTTAAGATAGATCCAAGGACCTTAATACAAGATCTGGTAAGGAACGGAACATAATGTTAACCAAAAACGGCAATAACATCATACATCGACTTACCACTCAAAAAGGTTGGTAGGAATTCCTTACTAATAAAAAGAGCCACACTGATGAGGAGAAGTAAATTTTCAAAATTTCATAACTTCCTTGAGTGAAAGCGAAGAAGAATCCTGGCGCTTCTTGTGGAGCAAAGCCATTACTTGGACGAAGGCGCGAAAAGACGTTGGGAGAGTTCTATATTTTTTGACACAATCAAACTTTGACTGGTGTTGAAACAACACATTTCTCTTGCAGAAGAGCCGGTTACAGTCACTATTCACTTGTGTCTAGTTTCAGTCACTTATGAGTAAGTAAGCACTTGTGTCATTTTTGTCAATTCTTGCGAACACTAACATACTTTTACTTCAAACTTTGCAATGTTCACACATAGAAAAAATTGAAGGAGAAGAGAAACTAAAGATCATGAGCATGAGGAGTCAGATACTTATTATGTGAAAAAGGAATAAATGAAGTTCACTCGAGATACACTAAAGAGGGAGCCGAATTTAGATTTCCTTGTTCTCTTATAATGTTAAAAAGGAATAAATGCAGTTCACTTGAGATACACAAAAGGGGGAGCCGAATTTAGATTTTCTTGTTCTGGGAGCAGCGAAAGTCTTGATCAGGAAGATATGCCTATTCACCATTAGATAAATGGCTAATTCATTTACATAACGGAAAATAAAAAACATAAACTCGAGACACTAATTCATCAGTTCTTCACGACGGTAAGGATTTTGAAAATTAAGGCGTTCCACATGTGATTACTGATACCCGAATGTGATGAAAGAGAATTGATCAAATAATGACTGACTTGACCATTCAAAGCGTAACTAAGCCTGAAGAATTCCCCCATGGAAAAATGAATCTGTCGAAAATTTGGACCATTCATTGAATGGTCATTCATGGAAGTGGATTTCATAAAGCCTCAAAAATACCAAGAGACGACCGGAGAAAAGTATACAACTTCGACGAGAGCGAAAACAGAGGCCGCGGGAGTAAACGAAACCTTCCTTATTTTTTAAGAAATCGAGGAGTGTCAAAGGCTTGAATTAGATCGAATTTAACAAATCCTCAGATGCATGGCTACAATCAGCTCAGTAGATTTCCAAATCTCACTAGCACAAGATTTTTTTTCCCTTTACTTATTTTTGTTTTTTTTTTAATGAATCAATTACATCTTATTCTAAGCTCAAGAAAAATTAAGGATAATGTCATTTTCTTGATGGTTGACCTGATTTTCATTTTAGAAAAGGTAGTGGAGTCTATCATACTTAACATTTTTAAGAGAAATCAATGTAAAAATCACCCTGAGCCTTGAATAATGATGGAACTTCCCAAAATCAGCACAAATTTACAGAATGATTGAGCTGTTGAATGCCTGATCGATACAATCGATTCAACTACGATTAATTTCTCATGGCAAATTGTTCACAGGAAGGACCGATAACAGTCCACTTGTGCAGACTTGTGCCTATTTCTCTATTCTCCAAGCAGCATTTGTCTGGACAAACGACAACATAGCTGAGACTATTGCTACCTGCTTGTCCTGATAAGACCATTGGGAGCAACAAACTCACCCTAGTTTCACGGGCTTTTCTTTCAGAGCCCTCCTCAACTGACATTTTAGTGGTAATTTGTGGTTTTTGAAATACATTCTGTGGAAGTATCTTCTGAGGAACAGCAGAGATATATTTTCGAGTCTACAGTATTCTGCATTAAAAAGTATTGCCTATCTAATAGATGATGAACACTGATTCGGCACACAACAGCTCAAATCAATACGAGGGTGAATAAACATGCAATTACTCAAAGTTGTCACACACCTCCCACCACCGATACACAGTACTGCCACACATCATGCAAAACAAGGTCTTGGAAGCATTATTATTACAATACATCAATTTCCGTCTGGAATTTGAAGAAAATTCAATTTTCTGTCCATTGTTCTCTAATACATGTGCTTCCTCAAGGAATATTTGATGAGTTAAGTTCGACAAAAATCAGTGAGGGTCGTTTGTACTACAGTTGTGTTACTCGTTGCTCTGATCATTTTATTTTCAGCAGTTGTAATACTATGACGGAATACTTTGTAATTATCATTAGTATCCATCCTAAGATACTGGCATAAAAAATACACTAAATCTCGGGACATTTTTTTTTTTCTTTCTTTTTTATTCCTCAGAACGAACTAACTCAGTTGGGAATTTCTAGGCTAACGTCTGATTCTGAATCTGATTATAAATATGAATGCACTGCAAGTTTGAGCCAGCTTCAGGAGGAAAATATCTATCACAAGCACCGCTAGAAAAAAATGTTTGTTAAGCTTAAATTAAATGAGATTTGAAAAATATTTACCTGACTTAATAAAGTAATTGAGAATCCATTATCATTTTCATTGAAAATCCCTTGTGTGCGTCGCAGGGTATCGGTCGCAAACTTCTCGTTCAAACGCTCCAGGGCAGTAGAGTCAAAGAAGTCCGTTACACGAGCTAAAGGACAAAAAAACAGAGCTGATGATAATTCCTCTCCGCCGAAAAATCTTCCAGCAGACAAAAATCAATTGACTGAACTGATGCTGGTACGCAGTTAATGCAGGATTTTTGACAGGTGCCTTCGAATTGAACAGTATGAAGCTGTAAAATGTTCTGCGGCTTACGATTAGTTTAGAAGAAACTTTAGACGCAGCGCATTGATAAAAATGAAACCATGCACAAATTGGTTTGAGACAAAACCTCACAATTGACAGATTCAGGAACGGCTAAGTAACCTTTGTATTCAAAACAGCTATCCATATGCATGAAAACTAGCCACCACTACTCGTATTTAGCTAGAAAACAGCAGCATTCAAAAAAATAAAACTAAGACCATCCGCAGGAAAAGGAACCTTACCGCAAAGAAACTTGGATTTGAGGTTTTAGTAGCAGTGCATGAAATAATTTTAACGTTAACGTTAATGAATAGTTTTAATTATAATATAATCATTCAAGTGGAAAAGAAGTTCCAAGTTATAGAGTCAGACTATACAGTTTCCCAAGTTTGCAGTCGAAAGAGCACTCTTTTGAGAGAAAAATTAAAATACTTGAATTGGTACCTATTTTAGAGGCCCAACATTGTAAAATTATAATACATGAAAAAATGAACTAATCCGCTTGCAACTTAGAGAATTAATATTCTCTGGGACATTCAGGAGCCCTTGTTGTTAAAAATTTAAACAATTTTTTTAACTTTTCGTCATAGGAATAGCCTTCCTGCAAATATTTGTGTCTACCTATATTAATAATAGGTTTAAGGTCCCTTTTCATGAGATCGGTCACAACAAGTGATGAAGAACACGTGAGTGAGTGTCCAACTGCGAATTAAGAAGCTCAGCCAAGTTAACTTAAAAAACCTTCATGGAGGCCACTTGTAGCTATCAAGATAAACGATGCATAAAATTATTTCCAGTTTACATCTTTAAATTGTGGTGAAATATTCATTAAGATAATGATTGGACATCTTATGGCATAATTTCATAGTGAAATTTTGAGTTAGTCAACATTCAGCAATTGGATACTCACTGAGCAAAATTCCCTTTACAAAGTGGAGTTGGGTACAATTAGAGAAATTTAAGCTTTCATCTACTTAAATCATCATACACTGAGAAAAATTTTCCAGTTAAGAATTCCCGAACGAGAATTCTCATTGGCTCAATCAGAAATCTCTTTAAAGTGACAGGACGTAGGACGTCTCTTGGAAATATTAGAAACACCATTTGAAACAAGGAGATTCTCTGTTGACTCAATGAGAATTATCGTCCAAGAATGATTAATTGCAAATTCTATTTATCTAACAGAAACTTTTTCTCCGCATATTAAACGGAACCAGGGACAGAAAAACAGGGAGGGAGGGGATTACCAATACCTAGTGCCCCTGGAAAAACACCCAAAACCTACTTGACAATTTAATTAGATTGGATGAAATTAAATTACTTAGAAAAGAATTCAAGTTGTAACAGAGAACAACAAGAAAAAAGGAGAGATAGATAAGTAATAGGAGCAACAATGATGTTTTACACACACGCTTGAAACGGAAAAGGGATGAAAAATAGTTGGGAACGCCAAATCCTCAGACTTGTGAAGCAAAAACGAAGTACGGCTGTAAAATTTTGAATCTTATTCACTTAAGTAACGTATCTGGACGATTAATTGAAATATAGTCACAATGTACCTGAGTGGTTACCTCATCTAAGATCTCAATATTTTGTCATGACTGAAATAAAATAATAGAAATTTTCCACAGAGGAGTCGGAGGACTTTTCCTATGAGCACCAGAATAAAGTGCCCTGCTTCCCCATTTTCGCTGCCTTATGAGGCCAGTCTATATTTTGGGCAAATGATACGGAGTTCCGAATGATCGTGGTGCTAATGGCAGACCCATTTTCTTTCAAATAATTATTCAATACCATTTTGTAGAAGAAATTAAGCGAAAATATTAAATAATTTTAACAGAATCCTTCGATCATAGCTCTTGCTATTGAAGCGCTTTCCCAGTTCTGAGACCATAGAGCCCCATCTAGAGAAAATGCGCTCCAGGTATCCTGAGCGGAGACCACTGCTGCAGTGGCAGCATGCTAGGGAAAAAATCAACAAATTCAGAGTAAAGTACAAGGATTGGCAAGGATGGAAAAGGACACTGCAAAGAGTATAGTAGAGTGAAAATCACGAGCTATTTATTTTGAGTGGTAACTTGTGTTGTTGTTACTTTCTGGAATATGTATCATATTTTGGCAGCTATTTAAGCTATTATTACATTGATTTTTTGAACAGAAAAAAAAAAAAAAAACTGCTTAGGAAAAAAACGATGAAAAATCTTTGGAAATAAAGACAATGTAAATTTTGCTCAACTTCGCCTGGGTAGTTTTTCGTACTCATGACATTTATATTGAGATTTTTTAAAGCCTTTCATTATTATGAAAGACATAACACCAAGGAGACTCATCAGATCACAAGAGGTATGAGGGGTTTTTATATTTTTCTTTTACTTCTTGTAAGCACAAGGAGAGTGATCTTTCAAACAAAACGCGATTTAAGTCTCTGGATATAAACAAGAAATTTGGAGTTATGTTCATAACTTACCCACTGGAGCGATAAAAAAATAAAAAAAAAACTATTCGTCAAAAAAAAGAAATCAGAAAAGTGCATTAGTAAGAAGACTACTTGCCGGGAAAAAACAAAACCATTAGTCAGAACTGGAATGCTTCAAAATGTCTGCTCTTCGTGTTTCCTTTTTCCAAGAAGAAGAAAATCCCATCAAACCTTAGCTCATTTTATACTGAGTTAGACACTGACAGAATTTTCTTCATAGAAATAGTAAAAGACTAGAACATTTGGAACATCGCAAGTTGAGACACATGATCTCTCATTTCACCATCAAATTTTGGAGATCCCAACTTATGAGAGAAGCGCAGAGGGGATAGAGAGAGGAGAAATATACATCAAAGGCCAAAGTGCATAAACATATGTTTGTTATAAAAGCTTGTCTTGATGACTCAAATCGCAAAAAAAAAGAACTCCAAGACACGAAATCGCAAATCAAAAACTCTAACGTGCCTGTAATATTTCATAATCTTTTCGAATCACTTGCATAACTCAATTCTTTCAACAGGATGTTTTTAAATATGATTTGCACATAGGTTTTTGCACTTCAGCGTGGATGATATAAACTCAGAGCAGAGGATTTGAAAATTAAATACAATTTTTACACAGGAACTAGCCATTTACAAGGCACAGGGACCTCCACCTGAAATCTACAACACACAACTGTTCATCGGAGAAAAATTCAAACCAACCAAGATAATGCAAAAGATGGTAAAAAATCAGGTGCAACAAGAAAAACGTCTTATTTTCTATTCCTTTGCTACAATGCTAGGTGAAATTACCTTACACACCACCAATACCATTTTAGGGATGGAGATTCCACAGAGAAAAATTTAGTGATTCAATCATTCTTCGGGTTCAAATATTACACAGCACACTTTTCCTAGTTTTTATCCCCTTTCATGCATTCACATAACACTACCTAGGTCTCCTTACAATAAAAACAGCTGAGTCTGCCTAATTCAACCAAAAAAACTTGAAAATATTTTCATTGAAAACAAAGGGGAGGGATGCGGTAATTCAGATGACAAAAGTGTGAAATTAAACTGTTAAATTTCACGAGTGCCAGTAGAATTTCATGAAATCATTCTTAGCAGTGAAAAAGCCTCGTCATGATGAAGTTTTTTAAAAATAAGTGCATACCTAATGATCACTTTAGATTTTTTGTTTTTTTTAACATCAGCTTTTACACATCAGAGAGAGTTAGTTTTGTGCTGGGCATAATCTGATCCGTCTCATATTGCACAGAACCGCAGTCTCTGACACTCTCACCCTCTTAAAAGCTTTGCGAAATACTTGAACAACCCTCTTTGTTCAGCCTACATTTAAAATAATTTTCATATAAAATGTTGCATTTTTTTTAATTAAAAAAATGTCGTTACAAAAGGTATTTATAGATATGACTTCACACTTACACTGCGGCCTTTTGCGACATCTAAGTTTCCTAACTTTCCGTTTATTTGGTTTGCACTGTGGTGAGTCTGGAGTCCTTTTGGCAGCATTGTTCCCATCATTGTCTGCAAAATGTTGAGTGACATGCCTCGCTAAAGCTCCCTGCAATGAACAAGAAAATCACCCACTTAAGTCGATGTTCTAGTGATTCTGGTGAGGAAGTCCTGGATACCATGTTTAAAAATGGTGAATTTGTAAAGACTAGCAAGGGTATTTATATAAATTAAGAAAAATGATCGATGTAAAAGGGAGCATATACTCGACTTAATAAAATTATCCATAAAATAGAAACTCAGATTTTTTAGAGAAAAAGGAGTATTTTATATAAATTAAGAAAAATGATCGATGTAAAAGGGAGCATATACTTGACTTAATAAAATTATCCATAAAATAGGAGCTCAGATTTTTCAGAGAAAAAGGAGTATTTTATATAAATTAAGAAAAATGATCGATGTAAAAGGAAGCATATACTTGACTTACTAAAATTATCCATGAAATAGGAGCTCAGATTTTTTAGAGAAAAAGGAGTATTTTATATAAATTAAGAAAATAAATATATGCATTATATTTTGTATAATGAGGAATTGCAAATCAGGCTGGAAAAATAGAAGAAAAAAAACACTTCAGCTTGATGTAAGGGTAATGTTTTAAGCTCAGAAAGAACTTATGTTGTTTGCTTACCTGAGAACTAAATGATAATCCGCACCGCTGAAAGATACAGGAAAATGGTTTCTTCCCTGCATGAGTAATAACATGATTTTCGAGATAACCTTTATTCGTCGCTGCTTTCCCGTAACATTTACAACCTTCCCACAAACAAGACGATACATCTCCACTCGTTTGTTCTTTCACATGTTTGGTCTGTAAACAAATATGACAAATGATCAGTGAATCAAATTCATGACAAGATTTAAAAGAAAGAAAGAAAAAAAAAAAAAACAAAACTGGGCATCATTCTGCTTTCGAATTTTGGAAGTATTTTCTAAGCAATCTAATGGTTCACAGAGCCGGTTAAAATAAATAATGAGATTTGGATTCAGTAAAGTCATTGCACCAAAACTGGGGGAGAGGGGGGGGGGCGGCAAGTGACCGGACATGACCTTAAAATGATACATAATACAAGAAATTAATAGCTTGATGAAGGCATATCGACGGTGTACGTCGGAAATCACGTATCTCGTTTGCGGTGTCTGAAAATCTCCGCCACTATTTTTTTTTTTTAAAGGAGAGCAAATTGACGTCATTCCTTGAAGTTAATGTAGAATATTCTTCGCACAGAGAAGAAAAATTCCGGCAGTTTTAAATAAGAATTGCCGTTTGGTGATATTCCATTTAAAATATAAAGTATGACAGGAAGTCTACGACGTCGCAAACCGAGTTATGTGATTGCCGACTCGCGCGTCGGTATGACGTTAACTTAATTAAAGTTAATTTAAAACCCGTTAATTTGACTAACGTGAGTTAAATAGATAAATATAAAAATAGGTCTGCAATTAAAAGTTTATGTAGTAAAATCATTCTAGTCACCGAATTCCATGACCCTGAGCGATGCCGGGTCTTAGGTTCTACCCTAGGATACAACTATTCGAACTTTGAAGCAAGCAAATTGCCTATCCGGTAGAAATGAAGGAAATTCAAGAGCCGCGACTCACCTGCAAGTGTTCGACTAGGGGCCTATGATACAACTATTCGAACTCTGCAGCAAGCAAATTGCCTATCCGGTAGAAATGAAGGGGATATTACACATACGCATCGGGCTACCTCGGCAAAACTTTGTTTAAACTGGATTGCATTTTGCAAAAAGGAACCACTAGCATTGCAATGTTGCTAAGATTGTGCAACTTCTTTTGTCTTGGAGGAAAAACCCGATTATCCATTAATAGTTTCTATTTTACTCGCTAAAAACTGTAAATTTAAGACAAAAATTACCATCTAAATTTCATACTTTTTCGCGATTTCCGCAATTTTATTACAAAGGATGAAGTTGCACAATCTTAGCATCCTTACAATGCTAGTGGTTCCTTTTTGCAAAATGCAATCCAACTTATGATTGCAAGCAAATTGCCTATCCGGTAGAAATGAAGGAAATTCAAGAGCCGCGACTCACCTGCAAGTGTTCGACTAGGGGCCTATGATACAACTAATCGAACTCGGGAGCAAGCAAATTGCCTATCCGATATGAACGAAGGGGCTTCAAGAGCCGCGACTCACCTGCAAGTGTTCGACGAGGGCGGCGTTGGAGGTGAACTCCTGGTTGCAGCCCTTCCAGCGGCAGGGGACCTCCTCGTGGAAGTACCGCTCGTCGGCGGTCTTGTCCTCCTTCCTCGGGAACCGGATGTTCTTGGGCGGCCCGCCGGCGGGCGGGGCCGGCGAGTCCTGGCAGGAATTGGAGCTGTCGCTAAAGTCTAAACTACTACTACTTAAACTATCCAGCCTCGAGTCTTCGTTGCCGTAGCAGGAGAGCGGGAGGCGGGGTTGCTCCTCCTCGGGGGTGGGAGGGCGAGGGGGCGTCTCGTCCGTCGCGGTGGGCGTGGCAGTGGGGACGCTCACGACGCCGCGGAGCGTGAGGTAGGTGTCGCCCTCTGGCGGGGGTTTCTTGATCGACTCCGGCGAGAGGAACCGGCTGAGGCCGCCGGGGACGAGGGGGATCTCCGGGAGCTGGGTAACGACGCGGCCGTTGACGCAGGTGGGCGAGAGGAGGTACGCGCCGGGGAAGTTGCGCGAAAAGGCGAAGGGGTTCGTCGAGGGCTCGGCGGCGGCGGGGGGCGCCGGGCGAGAGGACCGGAGTTTCCGGCGGGTCTGCACCGACGGGACCCGGAAGGTAACTTTGGGCTCCTCCAGGAGCCGGCACTTGACCGGCATCTGGGCTTGCGTGAGGCTGGAGAGGTTCTCGCACTTGACGACGAGGGTCTTGGAGAGGAGCTCGGCGGGGATCTGCCGGCAGGAGACGGGGAGCTCCTGGTGGGCGCCCCCGTTGGAGGCGGCCTCGCTGAGGGTGGAGAGGTGGAGGTCGCGCTTCTGGGGTTCCTGGGGCGCCTTTTCGGGCGTGCCGAAGAGCGCCTTCCGGACGAGGCAGCACTCGAGGGCGCCGTTCTTGGTGTTGTTGTTGTCGCCGAGGAGGGAGTCAGCGTCCTCCTCGGGGTCGAGCTTGGAGCGCTTGAGGTGGAAGGAGGCGAGGAGGGCCTCCTCGGTCGAGGGGCGCTTGTTCCACGGGAAGGCGCTGTTGGGCGGCATCTTGGACGGGGTGGGCGTCGGTGTGGGCGTCGGCGTCGGCGTCGGCGAGTCGGAGCATTCGCAGCTGCTCGACGAGCTCAGCGGCGAGCCGGGGTCCGTGAGTTCGCTGCTACTGGATCCGGAAGAATCCGAGCAGCTCAGTGTGGCCACCCCACTGAAACAGACAAAGCAAACCACAAATTAGAATTCATCCAGGCATCAACAGTTAATATAATGATCAAATCACAAACATGTCAAACGTCATCAAAATAATGTAGTAATTAACTACAATGTACATGTTACATTTACAGGGTGTCTACTGAAACAGGCTAGTCAAAAATAAGTACTTTTATAGTACTTTTCCAGTACATTCTGAAGAAATTCAGTACCTCCTCAAACAGAATAATTCAATACTTTTTCAGTACCTCCATTTGACGAAATTAGAAAAATTTCAAAAATTAGAAAAATTTCAAAAATTAGAAAAATTTCAAAAATTAGAAATTGCGACAAAAATGACGAAAAAATTTCGAAAAATTCCGGACCTTTCGTCGGAATTTCCGCACTTTTTCAATACTTCCGGACCGTCCTTAAAAAATCATTACTATTTCCGGACTTGTAGACAGCCTGTCCAGCCTAGTCGGCGGTGTGAAAACGACGCTGCCGATTCTATTCGATTGCTTTGAACGGAAACAGACGCGACGCGCGCCGGCCCGCGCGCGCCCAGCGAGCGCCGCGCACGGAGCGAAATTACGTAAGGCATAGTAAATTTATCACTCAATGATAACACCCACCCACACCCACCACCCGCGACGCCGCGGGAGGGGGGCTGCCGCCGCTGCCGCGGAGGGGGGGGAGCGCCGGAGGGTACCGGGTG